GAGGAGACGAGGAAGAATGAAAAAAAAAAAAAAAAAAAGAGATAAACGACTAAACCAAGGAAGAAAAAGAAAGATAATACAATAACTATTCCGTGCTATCGCGCGACGACACTTTCATCCTGTTGACTCTGTCGCTGCTAGACTCGGTCGCTAATACGAACATTTGAACGGATCTCGCATGCGATATCTCAACATCCCTGCGCTACAACGTCGTGTTGGGATCTTTCAGTGTCCAGGCGCTGATGCATATAAACGAGGAGCTACAAGCCCCAGTCATACTACTATCGAGCTCTGACGCGATTAACGCCTAATACATTGAATTAACAGCTCAATCGGACCTCGAGATCGCATTACATCTACGATAAATTTGCCAAATTTATCTACATATAAACCAGCAGGCTTTTTCTTTTCTTTTTTGTTTTTACATTTTGATCATGCTCGTATTTAAATCTTTTAAGGCTAAAAATCATGCGTAACGTAAGGTCGTTGTAATTTTAGTTTTCTCTACATAACTTGGGCGAAGATTTTTTTAACATTTGTGTTTTGTTCATGAAACACCGAGGAAAAGTAGAAGTAAATGAGCGTACATTAACGTTCACTCGCAAATATTTTGTCGTTTTGTCCTTTTGTTTTTTGTTTTTTGTTTTTTGTTTTTTTGTTGTTGTTGTATTTTGTCTTTTGTCCCCCCCCCCCCCCACCCCACCCTTACTAGAACACTTAAAATCTTACGTTGTCTAATCGAGGTCGAGCTTAATATCCGGACCTCGCAATATTTGGTGAATCTTCACGTTGTGCGGGCCATTTCTTTTTTTGCTTCTCTTCATTCTTTCTTTTTTTTTTTTTTTTTTTTTTTTTTTTTTTTTTTTTTTTTTTTTTTTATATATATATATATAGAATAATCTTCGCTACAATTAAATTTTATATATTCCTATAATATATATATATATATATATAAGCTCTAAGATGATTCAAGAAATCACCTCGTGCGGTCTAACAAGAGGGAAGCCGCAAGATCCACGTCAAATTCAGTCTGCTTTAATGCACCTTCGCACTGTTGTCGCGTGGCAAGTCCAAGCCTGTAACAAATAAATATAAAATTTCATACTTTATTCATAATGTATTTGCCGTAATATTAGGAGAGGTGCGTGGTAAATAAGAAGAATTCTTTAACGGTAATGGCAATTTTAACGAAGTAATTGTTTGTAGCTTCTTCATACAGCATTAGTTGTAAATTCCATACCATTATCCGGCTTTATTTCATACATTTTTTGTCACTAAAATTTCTTTCTAATTCTTGCTAAAGTCTCCATAAAGCTTTGCCACACGTTTAACGATAAAAACTGTCGTTGACATTTAAGATCTAAATGCAGCTTTCCGCTTTGCCAAAATGCGGTTTAAGCTAATATCCAGCAGACTGAAGTAAACGCGAATACAATAATTATAGAGGGACAACAACAGCGGAGGAAAGTGTAATGGTATAAGTGATGAACAAAGTGATTTCTCATTGTAGCTTTTCCAACGGACAAGCTCATCCCATCGGCTCTATCCCCGTTTACTTGCCGCCTCGGTTATCACGATCTAATACACGCAAAAATACATCCAAACTCACCTGAGCAGAGTCTCGACTTTGGCGAGCCTATCCATGGTGATCTGCTTGGCCGCTTGGGTCGTGTCCCATCCAGTCGCCTGGAGAGCGGTGAGCGCCTCCTGCTGGGACGCGTCTTGCGCCTCTTGGCGCACCTTCATCACCTTACTCGCACGAAACTCGTCGTTAAGGGACATGACCAGCTGCTGGGATGCGCCGATCAAGGGCGGACTCACGCCGCTCGGATACGCGGCCGGACCCGGGCCCAGCTGCGTGTTAATCGTCGTCGTCTCGTTCAACTGGGGCAGGAGGCTACGTGCCGTCCCACTCGATTGACCCGGCTGGGGTGTGCCGGACTGGGAGCGCGAGGGTGTGAACTGCATGAGGTTGACGTTCCCAGCGCTGACATTCAGTTTGCTCGACTGAGCGAACCCGTTCTGCGTGGGCTTGAGGGGCGAGAACGGAGGTGGCGGGTTGTACATCGGCGGCTGCTTTTGGCTGGGACTGAACTCCCGGGGTAGAGTCTGTCGGCTGTTTGACTTTTGCGACGGACTCGCGACGTTGCTGCTGTTGCTCATGTTGCTCATGTTGCTCATGCTGCTGACGATGCTACTGCTGCTGCTGCTGCTGCTGCTACTGTTGCTGTTGCTGTTGCTGTTGCTGTTGCTGTTGCTGTTGCTATTGCTGTTGCTGTTGCTGTTGCTGTTACTGATGCTGTTGCTGCTACTGCTACTATTGCCCGCCTGTTCGTTTTCGATAATTAATTCAAGGGGTTGGATTTTTTGGGATTAAGCGCGAGTTGAGATTTAAAATCGATCGAATTTCACCTATGTGGCGCAATATTATTTCTGTATTGTTCGTGGATGTTTTTTTTTTTTTTTTTTTTTTTTTTTTTTTTTTTTTTTTTTTTAAGAA